CATGGCGACGAGGGCCGCTGGAGCTCGCTGCTGGAGCTGGCTGAGGGGGAGAGCACAGCCCAGCGGTGTGAATCGATGCGCCCCTCCGGAGGTGCGAGCGAGCGCCGGGGCGGGGGCACGTAGGCAGGCCAGCCCACGCACGGCTGCGCTGGGGTTGCCTACTCCCAGGGGGCAGTGTTTAGGCATTTAGTTGCGAGGATGCACGGCCCGCCCGGGGGGTGTTTGGCCTTGGGGCGGTCGTGTAGGAGGGCGTGGCGGGCGAGGCCGCGAGGGGGGAGGGGGGGGGGTGACGCCCGGGGCCGGGAGGACGCGCGCGCCGCCGGTCAGCGCCCGCCCGGATAATAGAGGTAATCAACATCCCCCTCCTGACGTCGTGGGTTCAAATACCGACCAACACCCTCCAAAAATAAATTTCAACAGATAAAAGCAGCCCATTTTTGGCATGCTACCACCAACTAATCTGATTACAAAGAAAATATGCGAGGGGGAGAGTGATCAAACTGTGATTGTGGATCTGCTAATAGACTCACCGTCGGACGACGTGCTGCCGAGGTCCATGGTCTCGAGGTAGTGGGTCTTGCACAGCACCCGGTTCTCGAGCAGCGCGAACTCCTCTCCCGAGGACAGCTGCCGGTGGCACGCGTCGCACGCGAAGCACGCCAGGTGGTACACCAGGTCGCGCGCCTTGCGCACCCAGTCGCTCGCCGAGATGGACCGGCAGCACTTGGAGCACTTGGTGCCGAACATCCTGCAACAGAAGAGAAAGGCACATGGGTGTCAAACAGTTCCCCAAAAATGTAACTTTCCCAAAAGTTGGATCGTGTAGCCCAAGAAGCTTTCGAAGACCACGCAGGGGTCACACAAAAGCATAAAAAAATATTTCAGTGGAAGATCACGTTACGCATTACTTGTAAAGTATATAGATAATTTACAAATCTTAATTCACATTTAATTAGGTATTCAGGCATGAAAAGATTGGGTTGTGTTCTGCGTCTCCTATACTTTGTAATGTTTTGAAGGGTCTAAGACTCGGTCTAAGACTACGTCGGTGTAAAGAGGGACGTAGAGACAGTTTGCGAGTGATACTTTTCAATAGAGACATGGTTTGAAAATAATGTTTCTGAATTCATTTAGTTCTGTCTCTTCATAGTTA